GTACCAATCAGCCTAACATGCATGTTTTTGGTCTGTGGGAGGAAACCGGAGTACCCGGAGAAAACCCACGCATGCACGGAGAGAACATGCAAACTCCACCCAGAAAGGCCCCTGGACCGGGGTTTGAACCAAGGACCTACTTGCTGAGAGGCAGCAGCTCTACCAGTTGCGCCACTGTGCTGCCCTTTATATATATATACATATAAATATATATATTATCTGTGCATTAGGTTTTAAATATATTAACTGACTTTTCATTGAAATGCTTCACGGTGGGTTAGATGGGTTGATAATGTCTGAGTTGCAATTCCATGCATGCTTTTCTTATTTGAGTCTATCTAGCCATTAAATTCAAAACCTGCAGGAAGTACAGTCTGATGTGGAGCAAGTTGTATATGATGTAATGAAAAACATATCATTGAAACTGTCTACAATCTTTTAACGATAAAGAAAGTTCAAAGGAGGGCTCATTTGGATTGTAAGGACTTATAAGATATTCCCCTTCATTCATTCACAAGACAGAAAATTACCATAGAACTATTTTTGGTTGGCTTTCTGTTTTTTTTTTCAAGCATTAGTATTCAGAATCCCAGGAAAACATTATCTTGAAGATTTATTTACAGTTCAACCCTTAATGTTCAGTACATTCATAAAATCCTCATGTTAAACTACTTTTACTCCTTTGAGCTCTTATTTGAGGATATTTTTCAGCATGTGTAACAGCTTCAGCTGCAGAAGATGAACTCTGCTCTCCCTCTAACAGCTGTGGTGATTCATGCCAAGGCACTCTTATCCAAAGAAGTAAAATGGCATTAGAAATAAAAAGGCAGAAACCCTGAACAAGGTGAACCAAAAGAATCCTCTGAGTGAAAGATCAAACATCCAAACTTCAGGTCGGTGTCTGACCACAGAGCTTTTAACAAGGTTTCTACAGCGGCACAAAACAGGAGCTAAGGAGCAAAATATTGTATCTAATAGAGTCAAGTGAGTAAATTCATTCAGCTCACAGGAAAATTGAGAATAACTAGAAATTTTTTATTTTTTTTTTTATTCTTAGAAGCACATCAGGAAAATGCCACTTATAAAAGCTAAAGGAATAAAACAGTTGAATTTTGTCATAGTGGTGCATAAATCGTACTAGCAGCTTACTTGGGTTGTCTTTCATCACACCTGATGTGATTTGCTGTGATGGTTTTGAGGTGCGCTCTGAGACTTCAGCTGCAGCTGAACCCTTTGCATCTCACATCATTCTGGACTTACAGTGTATTTAGCAAATGTTAGCAAAATTCGTTCAACAAGTTGCGTCAAAGGGCACTCTGTGGGTTTTTGCAAGACTTCGTTACGCACGAATGGAGAGCGCGCGTGCGTTTGGTTTCAAACTCACTTACCAAGAGAGTTTCCGATCAGTGAGACGAAGAACACGACGATATAAGCCACGATCAAAACCCACTCGTACTCCTTGGGGTGCAAGTACTCCGTCCAGATGTAGCTCAGAAGTTCGTCGTCCGCATCCATGGTGGAGTGCGCGTGCACCTCGGTCCCGTTGGCCACATGAACGGGAAATTTGCAGTCGTCGCAATCCAAATTCGCCGCGATCCCAGACATCCTTTTGGAGGTGTCTGTGCGCCGCAGCTGCAGGACAGCCGTGCGTCGGCACGGATGGATGGATGGATGGATGGATGGATGGATGGATGAATGGATGGATGGATGAATGGATGGATGGATGGAAGGATGGGAACGAGGACGCGGCACCGCCAGCCTCGTCACAGTGATGATGATGATGATGAAGAGAAGGAGGAGGATGAGGTCCCTTGTGCTTCCACCCACGGTCAGGGTCAAACAGCAGGGACGCATAGACTTAATGAGCAGAGCCTAAAGGATAAGCGTGGGGATGGGGGGGGTGGGGGGGTGCGCTCCGGTGTCACAGTGGACCAGTTTGCCACCTCCTCTGCTTGTTTGTGTGAAAATGATGAAAACTATTCCAGTTAGATGCATCTTTCCGGCTTAATTACACTGAAAATCGCGCTGTGACACACACACACACACACAAACTGTCAGGAGGTTAATAAAATAAAGACCTTTTATTTATCCATCTAATACTCCTATAAACAAGGATCCAGCCTAAACACAACTGTTCATCAAAGGCCATTAATAATCCAGATTCAACCACAACAACCAGTATACAGGTTAGGAGATTCATGCCCACTCCTAAAGCCAAACTCTTCCACCTGATCCGCACCCAACAAACAATAAAGATAAAATGTGCTCACTTAGCTCGCCCAGCCAGCGAGACCCCTCCCCGGGGTCTGAGCTTGTGATGCCATCCAACTTAAACTGGATGATCTGACCTGCTGGATGGCTCCACACCAGACCAGTGCAGCCACAGGATACAGGATACATTCAACAGGAGTAGGAGAGCAAGGTGAAGGTCTCTCAAACAAACTGAGAGCACAGTTTTCCAGTGGTTGTGGCTGCACCATTTTGCAGGGAGGGTGTTGTCCACAGTCATTTAGGGCTGCTGGCGACGAAGACAAGTTAGGTGTTCCTGTGTGAGGAGGGGAGGCTGGGTGCCTCCTTCAGACAGGCAGGGCCAGGCTTTAGCTGGGTGCAGCTCTGATCCTCTGCTGATTGCACCCGTCCCTTATTAGTCTCTTTACCTTCTCTGATGAGTCTTTCCCGAGCACATCACAGTTGAAATAAAGCACGAAACCTGATTATTTCATTTCATCTTTGTCAGAAAAAGTTGTCATTTGTACAATAAATGTATACATTGTTCTTTCTTTCTGTCTCTCTGGGTGTATATTGTCATGAGCCTGGTTCTGCTGGAGGTTTATTCCTTTTAAAAAGGGAGTTTTTCCTTTCCACTGTTGCCATTGTGCTTACTCAGGATGGGAGACTGTGACAAAGAGAAGATTCAACTTGTCTGCTGCTTCCTTACATAGAGAACTTTACTGATTGGCTTTTTTATGAATGGTCCTGTAAAGTTCCCTGAGACAACTTTGTTGTCATATGGCGCAATATAAATAAACTGAATTGTATATTAACAACAATTGCTTTGCTTTTGGAGTTGACCCAATTCAAGATGGCCACCACTGCCTACTGGTTTTAGAAAGCATGAAACTGATAACTTGACAAGCTCAGTAAATATAACAAATATTAAGTTAAACTTTGTTGTGGTAGTAGCTGAGTGTTCTCCTCAACACACAAGGGGAAAGCTCCACTTTGCTTCACACCTTTGCTTTCAGAGAACTGAAACTTTAGGTATTTATAGTTTATTAAACATTTTTAGGGTCTGTCAGTTCCATGTCTGCCCTCTCTCAGTACTTTTCCACTGCCACACCCACTCTCACATGTTCCCAATCTTCATTCAGCTCAGGCGTTCCCATTTTCCTCATTTATTACTCATTTATCATATTCTTGTAGTCTTTATACATAAAGCAGTCGACATTACCAATCTTCTGGCCATGTTATGGTTTCTCTTCCATGTTTTTATCTGTGCCGCCTCCAACGCAGTTTTTATATATTTTTTTATTTTGTTATCACAAAAGCATTTTTGTTTTCTTAACAATAAAGTTGTTTTTGAGCTTCTTGAGTCCTGTCCGCATTCTGTATCTGAAACCTCTGTCAGTTGTGGCAATAATGACCTAATGGTGTATTAAATTCGGGTACATGTGTATTTTAAAGATTTAGAATATCGTGAAGAAGTTACTTTTTTGTTTTTCGGTCAGTCATTTCAGAAAGTGAAACTCATATATAGATTCATTACACATACAGTGAAATATTTCAAGTCTTTATTTTTTTGTAATTTCGATGATTGTGATTTACAGATGATGAAAATCCAAAATAAAGTATCTTGGAAAATTTGAATGTTCCACAGCCAGATTTTTATACCTTTGTCAGTGTGGGCAGGAGCCATGTCCTGCTGGAAAATTTAATCATCATCGCCATAAAGCTCGTCAGCAGAAGGACTCATGAAGTCTCTAAAATGTCCTGGTAGATGCTGGGTTGACTGTGGACTTCAGAAAACACAGTGGACCAACACCGGCAGAGGACATGGACTCAAACCATCACTGACTGTGGAAACTTCTCACTGGACTTCAAGCAACATGGATTTATGGGCCTCTCCAGATTCCACTCTTCCTCCAGACTCTGGGACATTGATTTCCAAATGACACACACAAAAAAACAATCATCTGAAAAGAGGACGTTGGACCACTGAGCAACAGTCCAGTTCTTTGTCTCCTCAGCAGGTAAGACACTTCTGACGTTGTCTCTGGTTCAGGAGTGGCTGGACTTGAGGAATGAGACATTTATTACCCACATCAAAGAGTTAATTAGCTTATTAGGGTGTGACATCATGAGTTTCCAATATTCAATATCCAAAATATTCTGATTTTTGAGGCACTGAATTTTGGTTTTTCATTAAGCCATTATCATCAGAATTACAAGAAATAAAGGCTTGAAATATTTCACCCTATAATGAATCTATATAAAATATGTTTCAATTTAAAAAATGACAGACCTAAAAAAATTGAACTTTTTCACAACGTTCTAATTTTTTTACATGCACCTTCTGGCACAATTGTTTAAAAATCTAGTTTTTATAAACTATTAAGCGAAACAGCAGGTAAAAGTTATTAATTCTGAAGGTCAATAAGCGTTTTAAGCTACATTTCACTTTAATAAAGAATACATTTGTGTTAGAATGGAATAGAAATTGATAATTGTACCCTTTCTGTGTGCCGTGTCCTTCAAACCATTAATAAAAGTGCACTTTGATGGTAAGACGTACAAGAGGTGTGGAGAGTTTACTCTTTTTTTTTTAAAGTAATTTCATTATCAACATATTCCAGGAATTTATTTTTATGACAAAATATTTCCTTGTTAATTGCACGTGTTTGTTTCGCAAAAACCTGACACCATTTTGACACAAGTATCACAAAATAAAAGTATTTCCTTGCCAGAGAGAACTCTACACTGAGTTTTCTTTCATGGGAAGAAATACGTGTTGGTCAGGAGCCTCAGAGATAAACGTGTCATGTGGATAAATCATGAAGAAAACAAAAAAAAAAGGTGATTTATTGAAGACACTTTGTCAAAGACTTGCCAAAACTAAAAAGGTAGCGAAGGTAATTTTTTTTCAGTAAAGGAGTCTTGGGGCTTGTCAGCTGAACAAAGGATTGCAGTGACTTTTGGCTGCGTTCAGGGAACAGCAGGTGATGTAGAACTGTGGCTCAAAGTAGGGAAGAAAGGATGGAGTCGAGTTCAGCAGAGCAGGTAAAGCAGGAAAGGGGAAAGTCAGGGAGCCTCATGAGGAGCACAGCTGTGGAGTTGAGTTCAAATGATGGAGAATCTGTAAGAAGAGCCGGGCTTGGCATTAGCAGAGGGGGGTAACAGTGTATTAAAGATGATTGTGAAACATTTTTATTTAAACTCACTATTATTGGCAGACCGTGGTGCTTTTGAATGGTGTGCATGGAGGTTCAGAGCAGGTCCGTCTTGGTTGCAGCTGCAGAGGCTTCAGACCAAGAAAAGGTTGGATTCCCACCAAACAATACAGATAGTCAGAAAGTGAATGAAAAGTGCAATGGGGTGTTCAAAGACCCATGGTGAGGGATTTTAGAATAAAACACACTAAATGTCAAGCAAAAAAGACTTTACATTCTGGTGGTGTTCAGTTGATCCAAAATGCTGCTGCCAGAGTCTTAACTGGAGTTAGTGGGAAAGATCATCTCTCTCCAGTTTTATCTTCTCTCCATTGGCTCCCTGTCAAATCCAGAATTGAATTAAAAATCCTACTTCTAACCTACAAAGCTCTCAACAAACTAGCTCCATCTTATATTACAGCTCTTATTGTTCCATATTTTCCTAACAGAGCACTTCGCTCTCAGACTGCAGGTTTACTTGTGGTTCCTACAGTTTCCAAGAGCAGAATGGGAGGAAGATCTTTCAGTTGTCAGGCTCCTCTATTGTGGAACCAACTTCCAGTTTCTGTCCGTGAGGCTGACACATTGTCCAGTTTTAAGATCAAGCTTAAGTCTTTCCTTTTTTATAAATCCTATAGTTAGGGTTGGCTTAGTTTTCTGAGCTAGCCCTTAGTTATGCTGCTATAGGCTTAGACTGCTGGAGGACAAACTGAGCACATTTCCTCAAATGAATAGTTACAGATTAATAGTTACAAAATGAAAACAAATGAATACTTAGTATTTGTAATTATTTCTATCTTAATATTTGTTTTTTGAATTTCCTCTATAGAAAGTACACGTGACTTGCCATTCTGTGTCCGTTTCTCCTTCCTGTCCTCTCAAGCCCCAGATGGCTGCTCTTCCTGAGCCTGGTTCTGCTGGAGGTTTCTTCCTGTAAAGAGGGAGTTTTTCCTTTCCACTGTTGCCTTTGTGCTTGCTCATTATGGGAGACTGCAACGATGTGAAGATTCAACGCAATCTGCTGCCTTCCATCTTTATATAGACAACTTTTACTAAGTGGCTTTTTAAGTATGTGAATATTTTTGGACAATGCCCCGAGACAACTTCTGTTGTAACTTGGCGCAATATAAATAAACTGAATTTAATTGAACTGATGGATGTTTTAAAAAGTTGTATAAA